TTCTTCCATTGTTGGTGCTTCTGCTCTGCAGCTGCTCCCCCAACTGGAACTGTAAAAGCAATATCAGCCGCTGTTTGGAGGAGAAAATTTAGTACCCACCAGCTACTGCGCTGATTTTCTATCAGTCTTGGCTCCACCATAGATCGAGGCCGCTGAGCAATAAACGCCTGTAAATGCAGCCCTCCACACAGTTATTACCGACAGCTTTGTGCTGCGTTTTGACAGCCGTAGCGAGAAAAGCACGACCAAATTAAATAATTGCATTGAAAGAAACACCTGTACTGTAAAAGGCCAAGGCACAAATAATTTGTAGCAATCAAAATGTCCATAAAATTACAGGTTATGCAGAATGTGCCGATCAGTGCATTGCTTGGTATGCAGTTACAGTGAATACAACCCTAACAGAATAATCACAGCGAGTACTATTGCCCTCTTAACTACACGGATGCCGTAAAGTGCTCCTTTTCATTCAGAATCGATGCACATGCAGACGAGTTCACACACGGAGAGCTGAAATAAATGACGCACAGTGTAAGTGCACACATGAGGGCAGAAATGTGGAGAAAATGCTCGTTTTAGGTGCACACGTGTTTCGATTAATGGCTTTGAATGTTGGGGAAAGAGTCAGATTCAAGCCAACGAGAAACAGTCACGTGATCGAGTATTTGCTGATGCGCTGAGCATTTTAAAGTTATTTTTCCAGTTTCTACAAGACTTGGCTGCTACAACAAGTACCAAGTTGAGCCAGTTTTTACGTGAAATTAGTCAATATCTTAATCCCGACACACAACACTGATACCAAGAGTGTTTCCACACACAAGACTTTGTCAAAATCTACGTTTGTGGGGGGATTTTAAGCCTCTTTGGCTGTTAAATCTAACTCATAGAGTACTGTTTAAAATCGTGTGCTGTTCCTCAGAATCACCAAATGAATAACAGCTGCAATGCAAAGAGTGCAGACACATTGGTTACAGTGTTACATGCCAAAAAACACCCTCTCAAACTGAAATAATCCTTCATCCTCAAAGTAACAGATATTAAATTGCTAAAACAAAGTGGATCTATTCTGCTCATATTTTATACTTGGGCTTTTCTAGAGTAGCTTTGCACAATTCAGAGTTCAAAATAATCCCCCTTTATCTTCTATCAGTGAGCTCTCTTAGCTCCTCCCACTTTGAGCAAACTTTGCACTGACTGGCTGCCCCTCCCAAACAAATTATATTAAGAGCAGGTGGGCGGGGCTTACTGTGCCTTAGATGACCATATTAAGGATATCTGCTCTCTGTGACATCGTACAAACCCAAGCAGAGAGAAAAAAAGCAGCATTAATTCACAGGGATTGGCCGTTCATACACTGGCAGAAGGCAGAACGGATCCACTTTAACCATCACATTAATTCACCAGTATGTGTGTTGATCAGAGTTTGTGTTTTGGAGGTTACGCAGACAAATGCAATGTCAAAATAAAGAATAAGGCTGAAGTCTGTACTGAGCACTGATGCCTGAAAAGGTGATTTTTCAAATGCAAGTCAAAAAAATAGCTCTGAGCTGTCACACAGCATCCCCCCCTTATTGTCAAATAATGAGCACACTGTTTAAGCTTTAAGAATTAAATAGCCAATCATGATCACCCGAGGTCAGCAACTTCATTTCATCCCATCACATTGATTCAGAAAAATAAAAAAGACAAATTGACGACAAAGCCATGAGTACATGAGAGAACATCGGGTTAGTAAATGTTTAACTCCTCCAGTGACCTCATCAGCTGATTTAAACCTCGTCTACAAGCCAGAGAAGCAAAGGGCTGATTCACAGGGCAAAGTAATGGGACGAGTCACCAAAACCCATTCAAAGTCACTCGTGTGTCCGCTCACAGTATAAAGTAAACGGAGACACAAAGTAAAATAGGCCTGGTGCCAAGTGTGCAAATTGGTTCAACTTCAGTGGAGTGAATCACCCCTCAAATCCCCTTAATAAACATTATTGAACGGTTTTGTATCAGAGGCAGCTGTTTCAACAGAACATCTGTTAAAGTGAGTGTTCATCAGCCACCAGGTACATCTACAGATGAGGTGACTAACAATTCCCAAAACATAAGAATTTAACTTTTATTTCCAATGAACGGTGACCGATGGATGTTCTAATCCCACTCCTTTTCATGTTTGCCCAGGACAAAGAGTTTAATCACTTCCTGCTTGAGGTGAAGAGGTTTCTCCCGAAGACGTGACTGGAGAACGTTTGGCAGGAAAATCATACAGAGTAATAACATGGCCACTTACAGGACAAACCCTTCACTACAAAACAGCAACACAGTATCATGTTCAGACATTGTTTCAAACACGCAAGACGTCTTTAAATCACGTAACGTGGATTTATTTTACTTCATCTTTTTAGTTTCAAATAGCTGTACAGCACTTCATTTGAAAGCGCTTTATAAGTAAAGTTATTATTATTATTATTATTATTACTGTGAGAAGTAATGCTAGCAAGTTGGTTAGGGATACTGAAGATGGCTTTGGTCAGCTCACACTGGTCCTTAACAAGTCATTCAATCACATATTTTATTTAAATAAAAATGGTTCTGATTTGGTTCTCCGGAAATTTAGCTAAAGTCGTTAAAATCATCTCACGTATGGGAGATTTATTGGTTTTAAAGAAACAAAATAAATGTAACCGTAGACAAAACGACTTGTTAAACTGCAACGTCTGTGATATTGTCACCATGCTTGATTATAAACAGCGGCTTTAGCAAGTTGAATACAGCAGAACCCCGACTTACGAAATTAATTCGTTCCCGAAGGTCTTTCGCAAGTCGAAAATTTTCGTAAGTCGAAGCACCCATCGCGCCTTTTGAGTGAACGATAGGCGTCGTTCAAGTGGAACAGCGAAGCGCAAGTACGAAAGCCAAGAGGGTTGTCACATGATTCGGAAGGCATTGTGGGCATTGTAGGCATTCCAGGCTCAGCCAATCAGAGCCAGCGGACTTCGTTACGCGGGCATTTTGCCGTAACACGGGCAGAAATATTGCCATTAAGCGCCTTCGTAACTTGAATTTTTCGTTAAATGGGGTATTCGTAAGTCGGGGTTCCACTGTATTTGAAATTTTGTGAATTCCTGAGAAGAACTTCAGGTTTTTCGTGTGTAATCTCACATATTTCCATTTTACTGTTAACTGCTTTTGCTAGCATCACTTTTTCACAGCATACTTCAGCGTCCTGGAAGACAATTTTTTTTCTGTTTTGACAAATTTTTACAAAAATAACAAAAGTTCATATTAACAGTAATTTGCCATGAAACTATAAATGTACCAATGCTGTCGTTATGTGTTCCCAGTGAGACATTCTTAAACTGATTGGTGTCTGTAAATTTAGAAAGGAAGCCATTTGTAGTTTTTAGTTTCAAACGGAAGCAGTGTCACTAACTCACAGAATCGTTTCTGTAAATTAAACTGTGCAAGGCAACAAAAGCACAGGCTTGGAGCGAGACCGATCAAACCTCAACAGAACAAGACGAATGAACTTTAGATATAACGAAGAAAGCAGAAGTGAACCATTACAAAATTTCTGTGCAGCTGAAACCATGCTGAATCTGTAAATGAGCCAAAAAGCACCACAAAAACTACAAAACGGCATTTTACAAAAGCAGGACCGCACTCTGAGCTGGTTTTAAGAAAAGACGAAGCACTACAGAAGGAAACAGCCGACATTCAAAAATCCCGTGTGCTGTGTTCGGTGGAGATGAAGTGACGCTGAAACACTAAATAAAGAATGACAGCGTGGAGTCATTCTGAATGTTGCTTCTTGCTTCAGAGGCACAATGAATGAACGTCTGCAGGGATATTGTCATCATTTTTACATCTATATGTGGTGACGTCTGATGCCTGTGTTCATATAATATATAGTTTAATGACTTTAATTTAAGGATTAGAGGATAACAGCAACTCTAACAATACACTAAATAGATAATAATAATCATAAGGGTTTGGTTCACCTGGCTAATTTCACAGATGGTAGCTGGATCCACACCAGGCTTCTTTTAACCTACCTGCTGAGACGTTTTACTAAAACCAAACCAACAGTTGGTCCTCTAGCTGAGGTCGGCTCCAAATAGATGCATTTAATTTATACTTTCGAAGGTTTTTCTAAGATTTAAAATATTTGTGACCACCGCTAACTGGAGTCACTGAACTCGATCTGAGGACTCTCTTTGTGCTGTTGGAGTCTTCAGGGTTTCATTTTACTATGAAGTAAAGACATCCAAGAGGTTTGTGCTTCAGTTTTGGGGAGTGAAACTGAGGTTTTATTATTCTAGTTACTAGCACTCATTAGCAGAAATCCATGCCTGTGCAATGCACCTTTACAGTCTACTAACACCAGCACCAACTGGGTTTTGGTGCCGCTACACTCAGTGTACACAAAGAAACCAGTGAATGCCAACTTGTCTGCAAACACTCACTATAGAGACTAAGCCTACGCTTGAAGCCACTGAGGTGGTTGTTAACGGGGGGGGGTAACGCGATGTCACTGATATGTATGAATTAAGTAAACAGTCCAATAACTCCAGTAGTACTTATCTTGTCCTTTTTGGTCTTTATTCCCATATCATCTTAACATAACAGCGCAGCGGTCACAAACTGTTTGCCTTCTTACAATTAATGACACACCTGACGGCGATTACATGCGTCTACCTTAATTACCTTTACATGAACAAAACAGAAAAAGGTGCCCTCTAGCGACCACATAAGGTCCATCCATCCATTCGCTTCCGCTTATCCTTTTCAGGGTCGCGGGGGGCGCTGGAGCCTATCCCAGCTGTCATAGGGCGAGAGGCGGGGTACACCCTGGACAGGTCGCCAGT